AAAAAAAAAAGATATACAAATGGCCAAGAAGTACATGAAAAGATGCATAATATCATTACTCATCAGGGAAATGCAAACCAAAACCACAATGAGATATCACCTCACACCGTTTAGGATGACCACTACCAAAAATAAAGAACAAACAAGTGTTGGCAAGGACATGAAGAAATTGGAAGCCGTGTACATCATTGGTAGGAATGTCATTGGTGCAGCTGCTATGGAAAACAATATGGAGGTTCCTCAAAAAATTATAGTTACTATATGATCCAGCAATCCTGATTCTGGGCATATATCCAAAAGAACTGAAATCAGGTCTTGAAGAGATATTGCTCACCCATGTTCACTGGGGCATTATTCATAGTAGCCAAGAGGTGGAAGCAACCTAAATGTATAAGTAGATCAATGGATAAAGAAAATATGGTGTATATACACAATAGGATATTATTCAATCCTTAAAAAGAAGAAAATTCTGTCATATGCCACAATATGAGTGAACCTTGAAGACATTATGCGAAGGAAAATAATCCAGTCACAAAAAGACAAATACTGCATGATTCTACTTATGTGAGGTATCTAAAGCAGTCAAACTCTTTGAAACAGAAAGTAGAATAGTAGGCCAGGTGCAGTGGCTCATGCTTGTAAATCCAGTGGCTCGCGCCTGTAAACCCAGCACACTTAGGGAGGCCAAGGCAAGCGGATCACTTGAGGCCAGGAATTTGAGACCAGTCTGGCCAATGTGACGAAAGCCTGTCTCTACTAAAAATACAGAAATTAACCAGGCATGGTGGCAGACATCTATAATCTTAGCTACTTTAGAGGCTGAGGTAGGAGAATCAGTTGAACCCTGGAAGCAGAGGTTGCAGTGAGCCAAGATTGCACCAGTGCCCTTTAGCCTGGTTGACAGGGTGACACCCTGACTCAAAAAACAAAGAAAAAAAGGCTAGGCGACGTGGCTCACACTTGTAATCCCAACACTTTGGGAGGCCGAGGCCAACGGATCACCTGAAGTAGAGAGATCGAGACCAGCCTGACCAACATGGAGAAACCCCATCTCTACTAAAAATACAAAATTAGCTGGGCATGGTGGCACATGCCTATAATCCCAGCTACTCAGGAGACTGAGGCAGGAGAATCGCTTGAACCCAGGAGGCAGAGGTTGC